AGTATATACATATATACATATATATAGATTAAGATTGCTTAAATCGCACTTTTTACTTAAAGTTTCATAATGCAAAAATTATGAAGAATATTCTAAGTTTTTTACAGCATAATAAACTGCATTCTTTTCTTTTTCAATGTAATTTCTTTGTAATTTTTTTGCGCTATTATAACATTTAAAATAAAAATTTAAAAAAAAATTGTAAAATTATATAAGAAAAGGAACAAATTGTATTTTATTATACTTTTAAAAACTTAAGAATATATATAATTTCTGAAACACATGATAATTTCAAAAAGTAATTTTAAGAAGTTTTTATGTGAAACAAAAATAAGTATTTAGCGTTACAGTATACATTTTTAATACATAATAATAAATGGAATAAAAATGTAAGAAATGTAAAAATAATAATATTATGCAACATGCGATTTAGAACATTAGATTATGGTATGGTTTAAAATTTTTACTTATTTATTATAATATATAAACAAAAATGTAAAGCAAATTTTAACCCAATTAATTTAATTTTAATAATATTTTAATCATGACAAATGCTCAAGACTTAGGCTATTTAACTTATGTTTTCTATAATTCTGCTATAAAATACGTTGAAAAATAGCAACTCTTAAGATATTTTTATTGATGTAAATAACAATTCAGATAGCCAAATGAATTCAAAACGTCATTATGTTGCTGCAGTAGATGTTGACAAAAGGACAAGATACTTCCTCATTATATTCATGTGAAACGTCTTCACATGAATTCTAAAGTTGACGATAATAAGTTGATAGCACCTTGATGGTATGTAAAATATATCTGCTATCAATTTGTCATTATGTTGCCGATACGATACTATATATATGAAATATGCGTGTTCATCGCGTACCATTATTTTGCTGTCAACATGAGATTATTAATTCTCAATGTTTGTTCTTGAAATTTCATAAACTGATGATGTCTACTTGCCCTCATGTTTCTAACTCAGTTTACACATAAGATTCGGAGCAAATTGTTAGCAAATTGATGACAACAACTCGTGCAAATATGCAATGCATTATAGTTTGTCTAATATACTAATTAATTAAATCACGCTTGGTTATCTAAGCAGGGCAACAAGTCATGATAACGTCAAAATGACATTAAAATAAATTAGAAATGATTAAACAATAAACGATCATTTTGACGATCATTTTGACATCATTTTGATATCATAATGATTTATTCTATTTAGATAATCTGTTGAATATATTCCTATCGCACTTTATGTCACGAGCAGTATAATGGAGTATAGCGTTGCAGTATCATGTAATTCTTAAATAACCCGTAAGAAAGTATATAAATACAATAATGGAATTTTTAAGCGAAGTAGGTGATTTAGGAAGTAGTGCGATTTAGGAGCTAGTGTGATTTCGGCAACTTTACTCCACACACCTAGATTGTCAAATCTGTCAATTTTGTATTGTAAAAATATTTGCTGCAAACATTGTCGGAAAAATATCAACAAAAATATCTGATAATAAAATATAATAGCAGAGTGACTGAAAAATCAATGAGAATTTACTATCTTCTAATCAATTTAAATGATATATTTTATTTAAATACAGCTAAGCCCGGACAGCTCTGTTAAGGGAATGTTAAAATCGTCTGTCTTACTAAACCATGTAATTTTTGTATAACAATTACATTACTTTTTCCTCTCTTATTTATTTAAAAATCCTTTTTTAAGATTAAAGTATACATTAATATATGTCTGTGAAATTGAGTCAAGGCCAAAGAACGACAGAAAATTTCGAAATTAAGATCTTCTTTATCATTTCTTAGTCCAATATGTGCTCTAGATATATGTCACATCTTGACATTCGCTTTATATAATAGCTGTGCAATCTGTACTTACCAAATAGTAGTCCACAGACTAGTAGTTTGTATAAAGAAACAGTATAAAGAAATAGTGGAATTTCTAAAATTGGACGTCTATTAAAAAACTTAAAAAGACGTCTAATTAAAATGTAATTGTTATACGAAAATTTATGTGTATATGTATGCGTGAATGAAATATTGATATAGTGATGTGTGTCAATGACTCGTT